AAGCTGTTCTTGATGAAGACCTGCATAAAAACTGAGAGGCTTGTGTTTTTCACCTAAAGCCAGGTAGGCATAATGACACCGGTTACTAACGGACATAGTGGGTATTTGATTTAATCCACATATGCTAAAATGTTTCGCCACAGAAGCTTGATGTTTACACGGGGTTCCTATTGGACTACATTCGCAAGTACCAAGTCTCATATCAACAAGGTACTATACGTCTTTATTTTTACTGCTTCTGTGTCTAAAAACCATTGAATTTTTATTTATAATTTCTATATCGCTTTTTTCTCCAATCTTCCATCCAGTGAGTTTAAATCGAAGTGCAATGAAATTATCCAAATTATTATGCGCCACCTTCAATAGCCTACGAATATAATAAAGATCCATTGTAGTTATGATAAATTGGTATATTTGTACAATGTTATATGCTTGCATACGTTTAAAAACGATATCTTTTAAAATTCTAATTCCGGCTTCTGCGAAATTATTAGTGTTATTGTTACGGATTGGTAGTTGTTGGCAGAAGGCAATAGCCCATTCATAGCGATGATCCCAAGAAGCTTTAAGGTGATTTTGAATGTTTGGATATTTTGAATAAATTTGACTTGTGGTTAAATCATTATATATAGCATTAAGAGTTATTTCACTTTTCGCAAAAACTATTTTTTTTATGTATTCAATTAAAGTCACACGGTCATTGTTACAAATACCATGTTTTCCGTCCCAAAGCCATTGCCACATTGCTTGCAAGAAATGAAAAACACATAGCAGTAAGGTTGCATTTTTCCAAGTATTATGCAATGCTGTTTTTTCAGCTTTACAATCGTCTGTCATTATTACCTGTGGACCAAGAGCAGTTCCACGTTCACCAAATCCTGCTGATGGAATCAGACATTTTAATATTTCTAGAGCTTTTGTGAAGGTATTTGCTGATTCGTCTGAAGCAATAATCATGCCAAGAGGCAAACCACCTGCAGGTGTGCTTGTCGAGAGAATTGTAAGGGGAGTATTAAGAACATCTAATCCAGCAGTTGTATCCATATAAACTAACTCACCCACTTCCTTTAGTGTATGACAATGCATCATGAGATTCGTTATAATAACAAGAATAAAGGGCTGCCCAGGATCATCTTTTTCGGGAGCAATATATTTTTGCATTCATGCATTTCCTTTATTATTATGGTTAAATTCTGCGACTTCTTTTTCCAACCGATCGAACATATCTTCTCCATTTTGTGCACCTAAATATTGGTCACGATGTTTTTTATAAAGATAAAAAACATCATTTTTACAGGGAGCAATAGCTCTATCGGCTAGAATTTCTTCATCATTATCACATTTTATCTGTAGTTGTTCCCAATATGTATGGTATGCGCTACTAGGATTATGCCCATTTTCAAAGAGCTTAAAGAGTTCATCTTTTGTTTTGTCTGAAATTGGACGGAAGCCCGTGACATGGCTAGATCCAAGAGGGTGATTATGATGAAAATATAAAGTGATAATGCATGGATAAGGATCTGTTCGTTTAAGGAGTTGAATACTTGACGTTGCTGAACAATTAGTGTCACGCATTCGTGTTCTTTCTATATTGGTTTCACTATTGTTATGTTTCTCTTGCTTTAATTTGACAGTGTGGCTATGAATACAATGAAACCGTTTGGACAAAATATAGCGTACACCCTTAATAGTACGACCACTGGTTTCTCGCATTGTTACTTTGTGCAAATCTGTAAATTTCTGAAACTATACTTGGGACTCTTCAATTGTAACAATGTTTATATAGCATGTAATTTTAAAAGGAGTTTCATAAGCACCTAAAAAACTATGAGGTTGAATTGGTTCAAAATAATCTATAAAATATTTGTAGTTATGAGGCAAGGCATTTTTAATAACAGGATCAAAGGTATTCAAGGTTTTTATATTTATGGATTCAGAATATGAAATATCA